ATCTATTAACCCCGCCACATTTTCTATGTGTCTGTCCCAAGTCGGGAACGTGTAGGTCAGAAGTTGTCGTTGGTTCATGTCTTTCATATCTGTTTTGCTCTTAGTTAGGCCGTTATTTTTCTCTATTGAATTGTTTCACATTTTTCATGACGGAGCCTTTTATAGCTGACTATACGGTATGGGTTTTTCTCATTGTTGAAGGCCGTACTGTTGCCTATTATTGCTTTCGTTTACTTCATTTGAACTTTGGTAGATAGTTGTCACATTGGCAATTATACCACATATCCTTATTTTTATATTTACCCCACAACATGGGCATGTGTTTGTCTTCAAAAGTCTTAACGCCACAACATGTTCATATGATTGTCCAAGGTAATCTACAAAATGGTCATATGGCTGCGTCAAGTCTTAACCCTTCAACATATACATGTACTTGTCCCAAATATTTACCTCTCAACATGTTCATGTGTCCATTGGATGTTGGATGTGTACTGAGTGATAACACTACAGGAACACGTCTGCTATTAAAGGGCACAAATGGTGCCCATAGGAATACCTATAACATGTCGATAAACTTTACTGCCGAAAAGAACATAACTGTTGTCACGGAAAACATTTACAGCTTTACACATCCAGTAAGTATATCTAGCGTATTTACCTTTCTCATTAGAGAAAAAGCCTTCGTGTGAGTTGCAGCAAATAAGTTTGCAATCAGATTTTTCAAACGACCATTTAATTAAGCAGGAAAAGTTTTGTTTGATAAGATTGTGTTGGAGTGTAGTATAAAGAGTGAAAAAGTCAAAACTGTTAACTGAATCAAAAGGACCATCAAAGGCCCGTAATTTATCTAAAACATCCAAAGAATTTTTTTACACTCCAAAAAAAGTTAATTCCACTATTTTCATATGTTTTATTACAAAAGTTAATGATAAGTTCTTTGATAGTAGTTAATGAACTAGTTAAAGCGCTGAAATATTAGTAGTAGAACACTTACTAGAGGCCGAGATGAAATGATATGTTACGGGTTTGTGTGTAGTGTATGTAACCAATACATAATGGGAGCCTTCAAATGTTCAGCGGAAGCCTTAAGCTTAGCTGTGGTATTGACATGATAAACACCACTATCCAAGGTTAGCGGGAGGGCTTGGCGTCAGCTAACTTGTTTAACCGATACATTCTGAATGTACCTGTCCCAAGTCAGAAGCCTGTAATTCAGTGGTTGTCATTCGTTGCTGTCTATCATATGTGTTTTTCGACTATTGTTTTGTACATAAATTAGGCCGTTAGCTTTCTCGTTTGAATTGTTTTATATTTGTCATGTCGGGACCTTTTATGGCTTACTATGCGGTATGGGTTTTGCTCATTGTTGAAGGCCGTACGGTGACCTATATTTGTTAAATTCTACGTCATGTGGTATCTGGTGGAGAGTAGTCTCATTGACAATCATACCATATCTTCTTATTTTTATACTTATTCCAAATTCTAACCCAACAATATGTGCTTTTCCCAAATCTTAACCCAACAACATGTTCATATGATTTTCCTAAGTCGTAACCCCACAACATGGTCATGTGCTTGTCCCAAGTCGTAAGCCCACAACATGTGCATGTGCTTGTCCCAAGGTTTAATCCCCACAACAATACTTGTCTTCTGAGTATTATATAGCTTTAAAAAGATATTATATATAATAGTACACACGTTATGATAATGGCTTATATTTAGCGTCTAAAATGTTGAAATATATGTAAGCGAACAAACTGAAAAAAACTATTTTATTCAACAGTTACTTCTCATCATTCTACTTCTTCAATGAGATATTTTATATCTAGATTGCACTTTTGTCTATTTACTGAAACATGTTTTCATGCTTTTAGCATTTTGACCAGTACGATTTTTATGTGGTCAATTGGGTTTTTTTTTCGAATAAATTTTGTAAAAAGTTTAATATTTGCCACTGTACATGATGTAATCAATTATTTATTTTAGTTTCTGGATACCTATATAGTGAGTGTCAAAGTAAAAGCTGTTATATACAAAAAATAAAGATAAATTATATCGTTTTTAGCATTTGAGAAAGAATTTTAGACATCAATTAAGAGAGAAATAATTCAAAACAAATGAATTTGAAGATTGAAAGGGAAACGAGAAGGTTGAATATATATACGGACCTTGTTTTAAGGCATTACTTTAAGTAAGAATTTTTAAATATTTATGATAACTCGTCTTCCAACTTTATAATTGTAATCTGGATATATAAAAGTGCATGTTTGCATAAATAGATGTGTTTTCAATTCCATAAATATTGCAAAAAGTATTGTTATTTATCGGGCAACCAGTCATTAACTTATTGATTCGTTTAGCATCTAACAAAACAGAATTTTTAGATGAAAATTGTAATCGATTTATTACCATTGTGTTACAGTTACAGATTTTGTTAGAAAATACGTAAAAGTATAAATTGTATAAATCATTTGCATTTACATCACATCTTTAAAACGATTGAAAATAACTGCTAGTTTCAGTTTTTATCAGTATTGAATACCGAATTCATCGTTATCTGGTGGATATATGTGACTGCCGAAACATTGTTAAAGGTTCTGTGATCATTGGCATTTCATTTAGAATTGGACACACCTACATAAAAATAAAAAGGGGAGACGAACTCCTTTAAAATTCTCACAAATGGTGTCCCTTTAGGAATTTTAACGAAAAGAAATGGTTTTATACCTTTGATTGTCTTTTCTTTTAATACGAAAAAGGAGTGACGCTTCGAAGGGAAGATACAGTCAGGCAGATCAAGGGGTTGAAGAGTGCGTACCAATTTTGGAACGAATAAGCACATGCATATGTTATGTGTTTAAGACGTTGATCGCAAAGAAAATAAATTTTATTTTTCTTACGATTTATCAATATGATTTGTTAACATTGAAACTTAATGTTCATAATGTCCATCAAGTAAAAATTTAATAAATAATCTGAAGCAAGGCAACTCGATCATGTTTTTCACGATTTTTATAATTTTTTAGCATAAAATCGTCCAATTTTTTTTCGCATCGCTTAACTCGGCGGTATATAATCCGTTTCATAGAATTGCGCCCCCCCCCCCCCCCTCTTTTAAGAAATCCAGGATCCGCCCCTGTCTAGTACGTTCCTTTTATTCATGGATTAAATAATAAAACGTATTATGTGGTAATCTCGGTGGACCTATAAACGGAGAAAGAAAGCTATTACGTGACTTAAAATACCGATTAACAACTAAAAAATATATAGCGGCTAACCGATAAAAAAAAGCGGTAAACCCGCGATAGAAATATTGGATAACCGATATCTTTTAGTGAATAGTCAATAATGAAATCAAATCAGAGACATGTCTCTAATATAAATATATGTAGGACTCGTAATTGCGATTGGGACGCTGAAGTGCTATGATCACGCTGAAGTGCGATGGACACGCTGAAAACAAGTGCGATGGTCCATTCGCTGATGTGCGATGGTCTATATTACGCTTGGTGGCTATTCTAAAATCTACAGATGTTTAATTATAAGCCTAAGAGAAGTAGATTATGAAATAGTTAGTATATAAATTGGCACTGGCTACGATTACCCGCAAAAAGTAACAATAAGAAATAATTATTGTTACTTCCGAGACTAATTGCCAAAATGTATTTCCGAAACAGGGATCCAATTTCATACGGAAAAGGCAGGTAACAATAATTTTAATCATTTTTTATTGTTACCTGCAGTTATTGTTACCCGCAAAATATATTCAGGCAGTCACTGATATAAAAAAAATGTTTGATTTGCGAGCAATCAGTGAAATAGATTTCAACAGGGATGTATTGACCAATATGACGTTCACTTTTGCCAAAGGGGTCGATTTAATAAAACAAATCACTGTTCTTAATTAGAGGGGGAAAAAAATCTTACGAAATTGCTCGACGAGAACATTAATTTCAATCGGATCAAAAAGTGTTTTCCAATGAGTCGGTGGGTTTCTTGAGTGATACCACCTGAAATGTTTTAGCCTCAAATGCCACCTAAGGCTACATACTGGATATGCAAGAAGTGCCACCAAATAAATAGCTAAAAGAATTCTAAATATTTATAAAAGTGCTTTCAATTTATCATTGCAATGTTAGGTAAATACTTTTCTATTCATATATTTTTTTCAAATATGTACAACAGCGTATACGGGGCAATGACACGAAGACTGTATAAAGTATCCCGATGCTACACACACAAAAGACATAATATGAAAATGTTAAATTTTGCAAGTACCAATAACTGCGGGTAACAATACAAAAAACATCATTACAATTTCCGTATGAAATTAGGTCCCTGTACGGAAATACATTTCGGCGATTAGTCTTGGAAGTATCAATAATTATTTCTTATTGTTACTTTTTTGCGCCGGGGTAATCGTAGCCAGTGCCATATAAATTTGCATTCGTTATTGTCTATGTATGTCCTTAGTTATAATTGCATACCGTAAATGAGAGATCGTCCTCTTTGTGAACATAATTTTGCGTTAACATTTACCTTTACTGTGTTCCTAGTTTACCGTAATATTGAATACGGAGAGTCTGTCTGCGGACTCGTATGTATTTAGAGAATGACACGTTCCGTCGTACGTAAAAAAAGTAACCTTTTGTAGATTTCGAAAAAAAAAAAATCCGATACAGAAGGTTTACTTTCCCTCTCCACCAAGCACCGTCCCTGTTTCCCGTAGTATAAAAAAAGGTATTAGCCCCTCATTAACTTAAAATCCAAAAAAACTTGAGTGGGCAAATATGTGACTTGTAGTTTTTTTTTTTTTTGAAAATCGCACTGTTCCGATACTTTATGGTTATTTATTTCGATCGGGTTTATATAATGTTTAGTCACCAAGCGAAACGCCGTTCAGGTTGTCTTATATGAATTTAATCCGTTGTAGTTGAAAGTTAGTGATATCCGTTATTGTTGCGTTGCTGGTCCGGATCCGAACTAAAAATATTAAGTTCTTTCGTGTTCAAAGTGAAAGTAGACAAAAGCTGAAGCAGGTAAGACAGAGAAAATCTTTCTTTACATGTCCTGTAGGATGATTCAAACAGAGACATATAATACAACGTCTCTGATTCAAATAATAATATATTTATTATAAATTTCACTCTGAGTACAGACAAACCTGTGGACCTGGAAAAGTTTAAGAGCATGACTGGACTTAGATACTAGGTAAGATTTAACGCATTTTTAGGTTTAAGAAAGAATATTAAAAACTTAACTGGATTTTGCTATCCTTTTTTTCATTCCTGCAGAGTGTGCCAAATAAAATAAATAGGGAAAGAGGTTTTAGAAGCTCCCATCATATAATAAGTGTTGTGAATTATTGTGTTGGTTTAAATGGAAAATAGAGGGACAATAGATATCTGCAAACAATAGGTCATTAGGTGATTTAAACTGTGTAACTGAGTGGTCCTATCAAATGAAACTTGGGTATATGTCTATTTTGCTATCTTCTGCAGACTGGAAAAAAAGCACATCAAAATCCAGGTTAAGTTTTAATTTTCTGAAACATAAACTACATATAACTTTTATATATCCAGGTCCAGTCATGCCTTTAAACTTTCATATATACATCAGTTTGTCTGTACTCAAGTAGATTTTGTGGTGTAATAGCCATATTTGTCAATTCCTTTTGATGAACCTTACACTGTTAAAATCTAAGACTATTAAAACTTAATAACAGGTAACATGATGTGTTATAGTAGTCTCAGATATAAAACCTATACAAGCAATACTGCCATGCAATCATAAATGTGCATTCAGACTTATAGAGCTAAGTAGGTAAATCCTATTTATGCTTAAAAGCACATGTTCATGCAGCAGTATTGCATAAGTTAGTAAACCGATTTAGATTTCTAAGCAGCTCACACAGGGATGAGAACCTACTTAGAAATTGAAGGTCAGTGAAAATTTTGTATGTGTTGTCTTTATGTATTTTGTTTTTATATATTTCTAATTCGCAACTAGCTTAATATAATGGAGAAAACAAATCATTTGAAATTCAGGCTTATATTTCAGTTTTTAATGCTAGTACATATACATGAAATATATCCTAATTTACAAGTGACCCATCACCCATAAAGTGGGTGGTTCTGACAACTGTTTTTAAGCCAAAAAAACAATTACTGCCTCCATGCAGAAATAGAGTAGATAGAACCTTAGGTAAAATGATTTAGACAATGTTTAACCAAAAATAATCATCATATGTGTTTGTGTAGGCATGAAAATTTAAGGTAGGGAGGGAGGCTGAAAACGACTAGATTTTGTTTTAGCCTAATACCAATTTTAATCCTATTTTTCAATAAAGGATAATCTGATATGAAAACTGCTGAAAGAAGGACAACTCTTTTTTTATTCTTCAATGTTCTGATTTTATAGATTAACACAACATATGTATTCCAGGAACCAAAATGGATATGTTTACAATAATAGTATAGCTTATTGAAAAAGGCTCTTGGAAACAACATGAAGAAGAATCAAAATGTGAAAATAAAAGGAGAGAAAGTTACACTAATTCCATACGAAGCTCATCATGTACCAAAGTAAGGATTCATTATCATGATTATGTTTTTATCTTGTTTACAACTTGATTTATGCTTTCAATTAGTTTTTTTTACAGTTTATCTATACATGAAGTTATCATTTAGTGTCATTATGCTAACTAAGCCGGTAATCTATTAACATGATACCATTGTGCTTTTGTTAATTCTGTTGCAGTTGTATGACCTTGTATTAGCACAAATACTGTCTCTCCACTAGAGGCTAAATGACATAGAAATTTAAAACAACTATCATAATTATAGTTTACTGTACAGCCTTCAACATTGAACAAAACCCATACTGCATAAAAAGCTATAAAAGACCCAGAAATGACAAATGTAAAGTAATTCAAATGAGAAAACTAACAGCCTGATTTACTCAGGCTATAAAAAACAATAAATAAAAAAACAAATATGATTAACAGCAACAAACAAATAAATCTAAACTATATATAAGAAAAGAAAAGATGAAATTATCATTGTGACATCCTCTGTATTCATCTGTGTTCAAACTCTTTCATTTGTTTGATGTACTGTTGATAGTGAAATGAAAATTATTCTATTCTGATAAATCAGACAAGGTATCATGTCCCAATAAAATAGTTCCAATTGTCCTGTAATAAATAAAATAAAAGAGTATCTTGATCCATATAGTTACCACTGGTTTCATGGTAAAATGCCTGCTTGTCCCTAATGCATCTTGTTGTGGATTCAATTCCAACAAGGGTCAAACAAAAGACTTGAAAATTAGCATTTGCTGCTTTTTGTCCAAACAGTAAATAATTAAGATTAAGAACAACAACTGATTTGCTCTAAGTAACAATAATGTGAACAGGTGAGATGACATGTCTTCATGCTGACTGTTACCTTGAGCTAGCACATTAAAATCTGACTTGATGACTTGATCTATTACAAATTAAGCTGGGTATTAAGGAAAATATATCTTTTTATTGAAATGTAATCATCCTAAATATGCATGTAATAGTTGCTATTGGATTTTAAGCAGCCATCAATCAGTTAATCTAATTAGGGAGCTACCATTTGATTTTTATGGGGGGGGGGGGGGGGGGGGGCTAGGATGAAAAATTTTGTCCTGTTTTTTTTTTTTTTAGTTGTGATCTCTGTCCTGCCTTTTTATTTTTCACTGTATTCGGTCCTGCCTTTTTTTTTATTAGTTTATCCTGACTTTTTTACATAAATTGTCATCCTGCCTTTTTTTTTTACTCAAAACTCCTGTCCTGCCTTTTTTTTCAAATTTCATCCTAGCCCCCCATAAAAATCAAATGGTAGCTCCCTTACTGTAAAATACTGCTATGATCAAGATATCAGTGAACATGATAAAAGTGAGGTTCCAATACCAAAGGTCCTTTACTAGGATAAACAAATATAACATTCATATAGGTATCATTCTTGGATGCAAAGTAAAGAATTGCAAGAACTAACTGCATCAGAACCATTGTCATTGGAAGAGGAATATGATATGCAGAGAAGCTGGCGAGAGGATAAAAAGAGTAAGCCTTAAATTAAAACCAATGCCTTTCACAATTTTGAACATTTCAAGATATGATTGTGTTCTAACTTATATCATGTATATAGGCACTTGCTAATTTGATATACTTACAATTCATATAAGTCTTTTCATGTTATAGTTTTATAATATAAGAGGTATTAGATATCTTTTTTTTTCCATCCTTAGTAGGTTATATTGATTAAGTAACAACTTTTTAAAGTATATTTATCTAGAAGTCAACTGATTTATAAAAAATTGCTAATATCTCACAAGTAAAAATTTTAAAGTTTCATAAATTTCCCTAACATTCTATTGATGCTCTTTTCACAAAAAATCTTAAAAGAAAAAAAAATCTTTCATGTCAAAAACTTTAATAGAGTATAAATTACAATCAACTTTTTGTAAGATTTATGTGAAAAGGAAACATGCATGTATTTATCATTTGAGGTCAAGTAAAATGACACAATAAAACAACAAAAGAAGTATGTTTGATAAAGTCCCAAATATTGCCCATTTTTCCAACTTAATTTTAGAATCAACATTTAATAGCCACTATAACAATGTATTATACTTTAACAATAACTTGATAGAAAATTTTAAGTGTCAGCTTTCCTTTTATGATATTATAATTAACTTAGATCTTATTTTTTCATATTCAATGAAACATGTGTTCAATAAGTTTATGGGACCTGTACTGGAAACCAATAAAGCTATGTCAACATATTTTTTTATTATATATTACATTTAACAAATAACCTATCTGACTTGAGTATTGAGTTTGTTGAACCCTGGGCTCTATGTTTCCTAGGCCTAATTCTGGTTGAAATCAAGAACATTTGGTCAACTTCCAAAAAATCTCTATTATCGAAACTAATTGGGGTGGAACTGGCAAAGCTTTGTAAGAAAAACTTGACAAAAAATTATCCTTGCAGTTTCTTACACACATATGCATCAACTTGATACACTTTTATATAAAGAGTAACATCAATTTCAAAAGTGGATAGGTAAGTAAGGTAAAATGATACTTTTTAGGAAAAAAAAGAAGAATGTGTCTGAGGACACGAATGCCCCAGCTCAAGCTTTACAATTTTCAAAGTTTATATAAAAGGGGCATGACTCTAGAACAGTAAGTGACTCGCTGCCCAAATTCGAACTCTCTCTGAAAGTTTTGATCCTTAACATTGTGTATGAGTTTCATAAAATTTTGATGAGGCAAACTTAAGTTAGAGTGTGGAAACAAAAATGAGACGGACCGAAAGACAGATGGACGGATGGCCGAGGGTAACACTTAATACCCCTGTTGTCTACGGTGGGGGCATAAAAAAGATAAAAAGATTTACAAAACTATATAATGTCTATAGGCAAAAGTTCTTGATTTATGCAGATGTTAATGATACTTAATCAAAAACCCTGGTTAGATTTGTTACGGAGAAAAGATAAAACTAATATAACAGGATGAATGTTACATACTTTTCTTGGCCTTATTGCATAGTTATAAACAGTATTGTTATAAGAAAAAAATACTACAAAATCATATTGAAAGTCTTTGGTATAATCTTATTCTGTATTTTATCTTGCATCCTTATAAAAATAAAAAATATCATATACATATATATGATTGCCAATGAGATAAAGCTCTCCATCATAGGCCAAACGACTAAGAAGGTTAGCAACAATAGGTTGTATATTGACTGTATTATAATCATATGTAAAATTTATATTTGTTTGTATTTTTTACTTACAGAATGCACCTTTATAGTTCTTCAAAATGTAGGTGTTGATGAAGAACAAGATGAAACAGGTATACAAAGATTATACTTCACTTATATTATATGAATAAAAGGAGATGTGGGGTACATATAATGTCAATGAGAAAGCACTCAGAAAGCACCAAAAAAAACCCAAGAAAATTCAATGACCATGATAACTGGTCAATTTAGAAAAAAAACATTAAAAAATGTTGAATTTCATTTTAAACATTTAAGTCAATTCTAATTTGTTCTATTTGAAAAGTTTTAAAAAAGTCAGATTTCCCCTTCAATATCTTTAGTATGGGCAAAGTAAACATTGTGACATTTTAAAATGTGTTTGCCCCTTAAAGACAGGTAAAGTTTTATTTTGACAGGTTTTCCTTTTCATTCTTAGTTGATACTGTCAAAAATAGTTTTCAGATTTCTAAGCTTAAGCAAATACTGTGAAATAGTCCATTTTCAAATTACCAATTTGGTTTATGAATTTAGAATTTTTCAAAAGGGGAAACAGCTGGTGGTAGGAAAAACTGTATCCCTGCCTATACAAATCAAGTGAAATGAGCATAGTTTCTTGTATGGGATCAGACAATGATTTTTTTAGTGCATTACACGTTTATGTTAAATATGGGATGGCAAAATATGTGATGATTACAATAAAAATTCATAACAGCTGATGTAAATCAAAACATTCATTTTTTCTTAAAATTATATAGGCAGAGCTGCAATACAGTTTGTTATACATAGAATTTGTTTCTCATAAAATTGCCAAAAAAAATCTATAATTGGAAACAAAAGTAGTTTTTTTGAAAATGAACGGTTAAGGATTACTAAATACTGTTTTCACATCTATATGTTTTTAGTAAGGCGCTATATTAACAAAAAAGGTTTTGCTTTGTTTTCAGTTAATTAAGTTAGCTGCTATATGGCTTTTTATACCACTTAACATGCATTGATTTACTTTGACATTGGTTTTATTGGTTGTTGTTGATTTTTTCAAGGGTTCTCTTTTCACATTCATAGTTACACCTTTCATTCAGTTACTTTAGTTAGCCTGCTATAAAAAAATATAACACAGTGCTGTTCAACATTTAACTAAAGTTTGAATAATAATTACAATTTTAGGTATAGTTTTTTCTCTGTTTAAGGTTGTCAGATTCATAAGGCAGAATTCTAGGGGCCTTTAATTCATTTTAATTTTAAAAACCCAGATTTTTTTTAATGATTTCAAACAAATATCAAATTTAACAAGAAGCACCATGTTTTGTATTTACAGGACAAATGATTGGTGATGTTAATATTTTCTTCAATGAAGAGGAAGATTTACACTGTGGGGAAATAGAAATTATGATTGCAGGTGATATTTGCATATTATTATAGTGAATTCCATTACTGTAGTAATAACCATAGCAGACAATCTTCCAAAATAGTGTCTTATAAAAACTGTAGTAGGTACTTGTTACTTTTAATTGTTGCCTAGATTTCCTTGGTCATTCTGAGTATATGCTTGATATACAATTATTGTATGCACTTACAGCAGCAAACAGTCAATAGACCTAAAAATATGATTATTTCTCTTATGAGTAATGGGGTTTACAAAATATAGAATGATGGGCAAAATAAATAAAGAATAGAGAAATAAGAAGGAAAAACAAATAAGGAATAGAGAATAATCCAGTGCTAAATTATAAATGGATGTGATCTGTTATGTCTTTTCTGTATGAAGAGATATTTCTCTTATCACACTGAACCAAGTGTAATATGAATACCTAATACAAAAAAATGCATTAATTTGATTGGCCCATCCTGCAGTATGATACAACATTTTGACATTTCTATTGGCTAAATGTTAGATTGATCAGTGATGGCTTTCAAAAGTATCAAAGGACAACTTTTCCTCTATGGCAACAGTGATCTGTGAATTCTTCAATAAATTATGATATCCAAAACACATTTTTTACATAAAAATTTTCTATTTGTCAAATTTGTTCCATTCAGAATGTCCAAAAGACTTAAAAATGTTTGATGTTAAAATTTGACGTCGGAAATGGACCTTTTAGACCAGAACAATTTTTCACAGAATTTTGTATTTAGCACAAATATCACTTGATAACAACTCTTGCTATTTAATTTCAATAATAATAATAAAAACGTCAAAGGATCTTTTATTATTTTTGTCTCACCTGCGACAAAAGTTGCAGGAAGCGAGACATAGGGATTGCTTTTCCGGCGACGGCGTCAACAATTGTTATGTTTTCTGCTTAAGTCAGTTTGATAGGATCTCCTTGTGATAGATCAATGATATTTTGTATGAAGTTGCATTACTATCAGTATATATCAGTTTGACGACTATTTTGAGGCCCTGCCCCCTAGGACATGGTCCAGTGACTGAATTAATTAGTAATTTTCAATGTAAAGTTTTCTGCTGATGTTAGTTTGATAGGATCCACTTGTGATGGATCAATGATATTTTTAATGAAGTAGCATTACTATCTGCCCCATAGGACATGGTCCAGTGACTTTGAATTAATTAGCAATTTTCAATGTTAAGTTTTCTGCTTAAGTTAGTTTGATAGGATCTACTTGTGATTTATTAATGATATTTTGTATTAAGTTGCATTACTATCTGTACATATCAGTTTGACAACTATTTTGAGGCCCTGCCCCCTAGGACATGGTCCAGTGACTTTGAAGTAATTAACAATTTTTAATGTTAAGTTTTTATGCTTAAGTTATATTGATGGGAACTACTTACAATAAACAACAATATTTTCTATAAAGTTAAATCAGCTTGTAGACCATTTTCAGACCCTGTCCACTAGATCATTGTCCAATGACTGAATTGATAAGCAATGTTGCTGTCCATCAGATTGTCTTTTTCTGAATTTTATGCCAATAGGTGAGACATATCTCTGTGTCAACAGTTTATTTTGAAATTAAATAACTCTTAGACTAGATGATACAGATGTAACATGTGATATCCAATTCTTACTTGTAATGAAACCTTTAATTTGCATACCTTAAAATAAATTGTATTTGTATTATGAAATATATGTTATGAGAAGTCGATATTATGTCATGTTATGTTGTAATTTTTATGATTTGAGATATGTTGTAGATCTAGATGGTATCTTTGAAAATCTTAAAATAACGTAGGTTACCTTGCTTGTTTTCAAGAAACATAAGGCTCATAACTGAGAATTTATGTACCAGGTAATTTTGCTGAAATTTCCAGAAACCTAAAAATTTTCTGGAACTGGTATTTTGACAATAACATAGACAAATTTTTTTTTTTTTTTTTAAAGCTCAAAATATTTGTTTTCTTTCACATTCAATGGGTAAAAATCCTATTTTTCAATTTTGTAGTACTGTAATTAGAATCTGTTACCAAGAAATCATATTAAATAAAACTTAGGTTGCAGTGGGACACAGAACGTTAATGATCACTTTGAAGGTTATCTCCCCTAGAACTTCATTGACTTCCCATAAAAAGTTAATGAATTTTGAGCCATATCATAAAAAGAACCGGATGATTTTGCAGTTAGAATTAAAGTACACTGAAAAAACTGTTGTACTTTTAGTCGGAATGATTTGTATTGATGATATTAACCTGTTTATTGATCTTTTGAATATTATATAACAGTAGCCTTTTAATTAATGGCTGATGTTGATAATTTTTTTACATTTCCAATAAAGAAGTATGATTGCATGTAAATAAAGTATAATTTTGTAATAATGTTTGTAGATAAAAAGACGTTAACATCTCATTTGTAACATATATTTACATATTTTTACAGCACACATGAATAACTGATTAAATATGACTTTTTCAGAATCACGGGCGAGAGGTAAAGGTTGTGGGAAGGAGGCATTGTTTACAATGATGAGATATGGTATGTAGATACAAAATTGCAACATCCTACCAGATAAAGTTAATGGGGAGACCTTTTATCACAACCTCTTTAATGTATAGGAGGTCTAAAAATTATAAACATTGAAAATTACATAAAAGATTTTAAATCAACATGGATAAGAACGATTAAAAGAAAAAATCAAAACTGGAAAAAACAATTTCTGTTTTCAAAATTGCATAATTGCTAACAAATTTAATTTCTTACACCTAATGCAATTTTGCACATCTAGGAATGTGTTTCTTGTCAGTGATGCTAGCAACCAATACTGTCATAAGTTGCTGTCTGTCATATTTTGGGCCTATGTGGCTGAGTGGTCTAAGTAGTTCATTACTGTATCACTAGCCTGTTAGTTTTGAGGTTGTGATGCTCAAACCCTACATGTGGCAGGTGTGTATTTCAAAGTATGTTTGTTCCGCCTAACATAAGTTCCCTGTGGAAACTTTGCTATAAACAATGCCATAATATCTGTTTCTATTGGAACGAATATTCTATACCCTTTATTCCGTAAGGAAAAAAATACTGATATATTTGTTCCAATGGAAATAATATAAGAGAATATTTCCTCTGTTTGGAACTTATATTATGAAGGAACTTTTATTTCATGTTTGACTACAATCTTTATTAATTAGGAATGTCAGTTTTTTGTGCAAGGTTAGTGAATCTTTTTGGCACTGCAGCTTCCTCCACCAATAAAAACTGACTTCCATGATATACTGTAAGTTTCAGAAATTATTGCGAGGTTTTTATTAATGCGAATAATGCAACTGAATGAGTATCACAATAATAAGAACTCATATTCTTATATCTGATACATATAACGGTATAGAGATTTTCCTGAAATTGCAATAATTAATCTAGCATTTTAGTCCATTCTACAAAATTTGCAATAATAAATGCACGCAATCATTTCTAAATTTAAGGTATCCAACTGTGCTGAAAGTTGCATTAAACACCAACAATCAATTAGTCATATTTGTTTTTTTATTTTTGGTTTATTGTTTTACAGCTAAGACATAAACTTGCAACTTATAATGGCAGTCTTGTTCATACCAGGGTATTTCCATTTGAAATTAACAAATGTGCTTATATTTGCCCTATGCCTATTGCAGCCATCAGACAGTCAGTCCAAAAACAAACAAAAAATATTACCATATTGATATTTGAATGAACATTTCCATAGTAGATAGCAGAATATTTTTTATCATCTGTTTTAGGAATTGAAGAACTAGACATGAAGAGATTTACAGCAAAAATTGGCATGGACAACACACCTAGTTTGTCCATGTTTAAAAGTATAGGTTTCAGTGAGGTAAGTCAATCCACTTTTTATAATAAGCAATATCTAAAATTACTTTCAAATTTTTTCACCATCTAAAAACTGATATTATAGAGATTGATATGAATAACTTAAACATATTATGAAATAGAATCATACAATTTATCCCTTTTTCAGTGGTAACTTTTCTATTTAGGTATTTTAACCATTTTGGTGTTTATTGTTATAGATTGGAGGTTTTTAAATTTCCATTTGTGAACTATTCATGATCAGCTCACCTGGCCCAAAGGTCATGATGATTGAGGGGAATATTGGTACCAATAGGCCAAGAAGTTTAAGAGAAGAAAATTTGTGTAAAGGTTAACTAACCATTGACACCATGTGATGAGAATAGCTCACATTGGCCCTATGTCTAGTAAATGAAATGTGTTCAATGATGCCCAATCAACCAAGAAGGCTAAAAATAGAACATATGGGTAAAATGCAGGTAATCTCTATTATCTTGAAAATCGTTATAGATAGAGAAAATCTGGCAGGGGGGGAGAAATGTTAAGAATGTCAAGATTAACATATTGTCAATCTATTTTGACCAACATTCTCAGACTAATCCTAATAAGAAACTGTAAATTGCAAAAATGATCTGCAGGATAAGAAATACAAATAAGTCAACATGTCTGAAATTTTTAGTCCACTCCTTAAAGAAACTAGAATGACCATTTTCCCTTGTTTTACTGAAACTAAAAGTAGATAGATCTTCAATAAAGTAAACATTGCCAAAATTTTCAGTTGATTCCTCACAGAAATTATTGTCCTCGAATGAAGATTTTTATTCATTTTTTTTTGTTGAAGCTATATAAGACAGAGTAAACCTAAAAAAAAAAAATATCAACAAAAGAAATCTGCAAATAAATAATCATAGCCCAATTTGTCAGTCTTCTCTTTATAGGAGTTATTGCCCTCAAATGAAGATTTTTAAGCCAATATGGTTGAAATAGTCATTCAAATATTTTTAGGAGTTATTGCCCTTGAATGACATTTATTTACCAACCATTGTCATTTTTAACAGATTCAATAGTAGACAGACAATAAATGTCAATAGCAAACATGATCAGCAAATAAAGATCTAGGAAGAAGTTCACATTTGCTGAAATTTCCATTCATTTCATTATAGCAGCCATTGCTGGTCATTTATAATTTTTGACCAGTTTTAGTGTTTTTACATATCTAAAACAAAAAAGTTGCAATTGATAGACTAAGACTTTGAACAGCAACAATGATCAGCAACACAAGATGTACAAAAAGACTAAGTGATTGAAATTGTCAACTGTCTACTTAGTGTGGTCATTGCCTCTAAACCACAATTTTAATCCATTTATTTCCATTTTCATTTTCAAGAATATCTTGAAAATTATAATGGATAAAGGTAAAAAGTAAAATTCATTTAGAGGTATCAATATCAACTATATACAGTTTAAAAATATGCCTATTAATATTTAAAAATATGATACAGACTTAACAGAAACTCTGTCCATTAAAAAAAACACAAAAATTTATATTCTAGTTGCATTGTATCCATTGTATGAAAAAAGGCAAGGTGTGTGATACCGACTCCTTGGAGCCTCTTTTTTATTCAAACTGAAGCTAAGGTTGCAACTCCTTTAGAAAAGTTGACCATAGTAAATTTGGTCTATCAAAGACAGGTAATAAATAACATAACTTAGCTGGTGTGTTAAAATCTAGGGTAAAAATAAAGACTCCATACTGTCTTTTAGGCATTTACAACATAAGGGTTATCATTTCCAAATCATAAAACAGTATTTAGTTTTGTGGATGACAATATGGTGAACTTTTCTGTATAAAAAAGGAGATGAGGGGTATATGTCAATTAGTTGGCAATTAAATGACACAAAAACACATAAAAAACTTCTTTTTGAAAGACAGGTACCTAAAATATATGTATGTCAAGCTCTAAATATCAAAGTCTAAAAAAGCTGTGAAAAGGATTATTACTTACAAAGTTCTGGCAAATTCCCCATATGATATAAAAAATCACAGTGAAATACACTCACTTGTGAGATAACACATTTGGAATGGCACATGAACATGTTTGGGGTTTAAGACTTGGGACAGGCCCATGACCATGTTGTAGGGTTAAAAAATGAAAATAACAGGTTATTAATTTCATGCATTCTAAGCACTTCTCTGGATTTACCTTCTTCAGGAATGCTCAAAGCCGAATATTTGAAAGCCGAGGATGTATAAGAACCGAAACAGTTGCAGAGCTATATGACCAAAATGTACCTTAAAAAATAGCCAAATTCATCTAAGTATGAAAAAGAAGATGTGGTATGATCGCCAATGAGACAAAACTACACAAGAGACCAAATGACCCAGAAATTAACAACTATAGGTCACTGTATGGCCTTCAACAATGAGCACAGCCCAGAACTTTGCCTGGTCTGCTTTATGAGATATCAACCCACTTGTTTATTTTAATTGATGTTAAGTTAATATAAACCTTGTACAGTATTATATGAAATAAAGAACATACAACGTGCAATATCTTTTTTCAGATTTCCAAGAGTGAAGTGTTCAACGAAATTACTCTAGAACTAAGTGTTCATGATGACTTTATGAAACATTTGCATGACAGAACGAAATTATTCCAAATCTTAAACTACAGATAACGCTAAATAAAGCATGATGTGGATATAGCTTTGCCAAGAAAGAATGTTAATAGGATCGTGTTTTTACAAATTTCTGCAAAAGTATACACCTTTTGTTTATTTGACAATTCATCAACAATAAAATATACAGATGTACAAGGGGGAAAAGTATGAAAAGACGATTGGTACATGTATTAAAAATCTCAGGATTAGATAATTGCAAAGAACCTATTTTATTGAATACCTTAGTTAATTTTTACCAGCACAAAAGGAACAAAAATTGTAATACAATAACATTGTGTTTGAATGGCTTAGAGATGAACATTTATATGAAGTAAATTTATTTTATAACCGACAGATTGTTTTTGATGAACAGAATATTTTATCAAGTTGTTTCCATGTATAATGGAAGGTATCTTCACTTGTCAACAGTATTTCACTGGGGTTGTATGGTTGATTGTGGTATAGAAATATGGTTATCCCTGGACTCCTCATATCATGCAGTAAAATGCATGCTTGAAAGGGTATCTTGACTGTGTGAGAGACTGGCAGTCAACATACACATCCATGTTTAGTGGGAAAAGTGATGTTAAGCTGATGTGTTGTGTAGGAATCGTGAAACATTCTATGTCTGTTTAAGAACTGCATTTAAATTTTGTTGTTGCCAAATATCTGCCCATATCCAACATACCCGTATTTTCTAGTGGCAGTTGAAATTACTGGCCAATATCCCGGTCCATTCACCAATAGGCATGAAATAGTTCCACTACACATTAAGTAAACTTTGATTCATTTCATTTTACAAATGCATAAATCGTTTGATGAATTAACATTTTAGAGAATTTTGGACCTGTCGAAAACAGGTAACATCTATCCATATGACCTGGACTAACTGGGGTCATTTAAAAAATACATCTGGTGCATACAATCATCAATGTTTTGTCTTTGATTAATTTAACAATATTTTATAGTAATCTTAGGTCATATCTATATATATATGGAAGTTTTTAACGACCTTGACTGGCTATACAGCCCTTGCACGGTCGGTCTTATCTATAATGAATGAGTGCAAAATAATATCTTATGGAAGACATTACTTGCTTTTTCAACATTATCTTATTTCTTATTTTACAGTGGTAATGTCCATTTAGTTATGGTAGTTTATCTAATTATACCCCACAGATCAAAGTTCGGTAGGGTATAATGTTTTTGACCCGTCAGTCTGTCATTCCTGTTCTTGTCATCGAAACTCCTCTGAAACCACACAAAAGAATTTCATGAAACTTTGTAGATAATAAGAACATACTATGTATACGTAGATGTGCATATCGACAGAAAATTATGATTCCACCTTTTTTCTAGGAGTTATGAACGTAGAATTTTGGCATAAATACACTACTGCAACAGTTTTTCATATTGACATCTCTTAAACCACACAACAGAATTTTATGAAACTTTGTAAATAATACGGACATAATATGTAGATGTGCATATTCACAAGAAATTTATATCAGTTGACTTTTGTAGAAGTTATGAGTCTTTGAACTTAGGTATCTGGGGAGATTGTGTTTGCCAATTGACAATGTGAGGCCGTGGGGTATGTGAGCTTGCTCACAAAGGTTCTTTAAGTATGCCTTGCTAACAATAAAACTTTCCACTTATTCAAAACATTTCTTCAAATGAACCATTTCTAACTCGAGTTATTGCTCTTTGTATTAATCTGTGATAGTATACAATTTTGTAAGAATTTTATTTTCAGTTTAGAGTTATTCCTCTTTTCAAGAACTAAATGAATAATAGAAACGAAAAGGCAATTTGAATGTTTTTTAATTTGACCAGATATGATAAATTACGATTTGATGGTTTTAAACTAATATATATATATATATATATATATATATCATCCTTCTGTCTGTATCTTGATTAACATTTAGTGAATGCTATTGTTATAAATAGCATTTGAACAATGGGCGAATAATTGGGAACAGAGAAATTGTTCTTTACGATCGCTTTAACCATTGATGTGTGTTCATTATTAGAGTCACCTATATATCCATCAAACTTTAAAAGGAAGATTTGGAACACAAACTTGCAAATTATCAGGAAACATTCAGAACCAACTGGAAAATGATTATTTGTTAAGATGGTCCATTATAAAAATATCAGATGTATTGTTAAATGTGAACTGCTGAACTACTAAGCATTTCATATCAAATCCATATTTGCATTGCAACTGCTGAACCTTGATTTTGATCAAAATATTTTTTTGGGAAATATCAAACCTCAAGGTTTGATTACGAAATAGTGATATAAAGATAACTTGGACATTTCCCATCCCCCAGTTTTAAAAACCCATCTCGAATGAACGTTCGTTTTTTATTGTGTTTGATGAATACATAAGCTGCTATTCAGAATGTGACCATTTAAATCTGATGCATCGTGTAAGGATAGTGCCACTCTGCTTGTTAATGAAACTAGCAACAACTGTTTCAGAAGTTCTGTTGCAAGTAAATATTTCAAAATAACGTCTTTATTTAGTGCCAGTCCAATTTTTCTGCCCCGTCCTTCAGTACAGTCGATGCACGCATCGTAGAATCTATTTATTGAATTTATTGTTAATTTGTTCTCGTGTTGAAGATCCATGATTTACTTGTAACTTTGCGTTAATCCAATAAAAATAAATCAATAAAGTAAATAAGAATTTGAGTTTCAAAATTCTCAGAAGGCAATGTCCAGTTTTGACCATGATAAGGTGATGAGGTGCATATGTTCTTGTAATTTCAATTTCATTTGAGTAAAAAATAAAACCATTTATTTTTGTTTACAAAACAACAGCGTATATACTACTCTTTGATCAGTTCTTAAATGGAAGTAATCAAAAGATCTTAATTCAATATTTGAAAAACAGAGATTTTATGATAACTTATTGTTTACATTTTAACTTCAAATAAAATAAACGATAACTTCTCAAACCTTTTAGCACAAAGTTTTCAAGTATAAAAGATTAAGAAAATAGAAGAGATTAAAAAAGCGATTTCGATTCCCATGCGTCATTTTTTCATATTGTCAAATGATGTATTTCAGTAATGTTTAAACAAGGAATGTAGACCTGAAACAACCAAAAATACAATCAAAAACTGCTAAGGAATTATACAAATAACTAGCGGATAATTGAATTGTAGAGAAAATTTTTAAAAAATATGACCAAAAGGAAAGATTATGAAAAGACAAACAACAGTTCACAAAATACAACAGAAAATTAGATATTGAGTAACAAAAACTCCATCAAAACCGGGGATTAACTAATGTAAAAAAAATCATCATAGGTACCAGGATAGAAATTTTGTACGCCAGACGCGCGTTTCTTCTACAAAAGACTCATCAGTGACGCTCGAATTAAAAAAGTTAAAGAGGCTAAACAAAGTACAAAGTTGAAGATCATTGATGACCCAAAATTCCTAAAAGTTTTGCAAATACAGCTAAGGTAATCTCTTCCTAGGGTAAAAAAAGAGTAATTATTTCGAAAAAATAGGATGAGTGGTTCCTGTGGTACTAGGGGCGTGCTGTTACTTATTGTAAGTAAACACAACAAATGCATTTGTAGAGGACGGGTGTGTGTCGAGTCTAGATCTACGACAAGTGGAACATACGCGTGGTCACCTGAAATTATAATGGCACCCTTCAAAATTTCGACAGGATGAATTCAACTTGATCATTTGGAATCCTTGTTTCAATAACTTCCTTGTAAGCAGCAACCTTTTAAAACAGCAAATATACAAGATCTGGACTATTTTATCAACTGGGAGAGCAATACTCTAAATGAAGACGCTGCTTGAATTTTGCGACACAGAATGTAAAGTTCACAATAGAAAAAATGAAACTCTCTTTTTGTCGTTAAGTTATGATCTAAACCGACCCTCTTTTATTCATTTCTAGATGTAAGATATCAAGCAGACTTAACTGTTTCTGTAGTATTTTTAATTTCAATTTTATAAAGATATATGCAATCAACATATTCCTCAAGCTTTATATTATTTGGTAAAAGGAGATAATCTGTATAGCGTTTGCTTTTGTTGTAGTTCAGCGTTTCTGTTATTCCGTTGTTTTCCTTTTATAGTTGATGTGTTTCCCTCGGTTTTAGTTTGATATCCGGATTTGTTTTTGGTTAATCGAATTATGACTATTAAACAGCGGTATACTACCGTTGCCTTTATTTACAAATCCTTTTAAGAGGTTCCTGTATGGAGTCTGCTTTATCAAAATAAAGCAAGAAGTCATCAAGAAAAAGAGTTTGGTTCCAATTCAATTTTGATTGTCTGGAAACTTGAAAACTGGAAATACTTTCGATCGACAGAAATCAAAGGCAAGAAGACAATTTTATGGACATACATGAACAGATATATATCAGCAGAGATCATTTAAATCCAAAGCTAAAAGCTATAATTGAGCTTATCCTAATGTTGATAATTTCATGAAATGATATGATTTTAACACTGTGTGGAAGTTAACCACAAATTAATATTAATTATGAGTTACGAAATATGAAACATATTTCATTTTGTTTAAATTTCTTGAAAATTCGCGGACTATTTATTCATATTTTAGACATATGCCTTGGACAAATCAAGTCTATCTGAATATCAGGAAACTATTGCTTGCTGAAAGTATTGATATCCCTAATAGCAAATTATTACTGTTGTTCATCATGTACACATGATTGAGTTTTGGTACATATGGATTTATTTTGTTTAAATTAATGAAAAAACATCTAGGCTATTAAAACTGAAAATGAAAGAAAGTTACTAACTATCGTACCCTTTTTCCCGAGAGAGCTAAAATAAGGTGTGTATAATCCAATGAGACAACTTCAAGTTCATATTTGAATGAAGCTTCAAGAGACACCATGCTTAACAGATATATTTAACATAAACAGCCATATAAAAAACTGTATGTCCACATTTGTTCTAATAGCATTTATTGCATGTATGTTTATGTGATAAGATACCAAGCGGAGCAATAGAAAATTAGAACGAAGGACAGACAACGTTATGCCCAAACGAAAATAGTTATAAAGGCAATAGCAACAGAATCTAGCAATCTTGACACAGAACACTAAGAATTGACCAAAACGAACCCCAATAAAACCTGGGACGAAATAAGGGGCCCAAAAAGAGACCAGTTCCTGTTCCATTTTGGATATTCACCAATGACTAGTAGAAATCATATGACCGGTCAAAAATTAAGAATTCCAATGAGAAATAGAACATAACCCAGATTGCCCGTGCCTCACATATTCCGGAACCGCCAAGTAAATCCTTACGGCCTAAAGCTATAGAAGGAAAGACTTCAATTTAA